TTCATAAAAGATTTCAAAATAAGTGAAAGGTTCCAAATTAATATCAAATAACTGCTATAAGACTAGTTCGATTACAACAATTTCAAAATAAAATCTAAGTCCTATAGCAGTCCATTTGTCCATTCACTGAGTCTGGTGCTGATCGTTTTGATTACCTGAAAAATGAATATAAGGGTAAGTACTCTACACTATCCAAAAACACACAGTGTGCATAGAGTCTCACCTCCAGCACATTTCCAATACATTAAACAATTACATTCACAAGTAGCATTCTACATCCATAAGTATAATTCATAAACCATGCATATGCACGCCAGCCATATTCACTGCAGCATTGTGATCACAGATTTACACCATGAATTGTCGCCGGTTACCCCCGCCTCATAGATACCACGTGGGCAGTCACGGGTCGCTCAGCAAAGATAGTAGTCAGAGATTTAGTTAGGAAGAGAGTGTGTGGCTCGTGGTGCACCCGTTCCACAGTTGGTGTCACTACCACTCCCTCTTACCCAAGGTATTTCTATCGTCCTCATCTCCCACATCCCCAATGTATCGCTGAACCATTCACAGCACATTACAACGGCGCTAACACGCCCATTCACACATATTTCATTCACGCATGCAATAGTCATGCTTACACACGGCACACAGCCCACATGACACTTAAATACACAGCACTAAGCCCATATTTATTCACAATATCATTAATTCACCAATCAATGGCATTCCATCACACACAATCACCCTCACGGAGTGCAATTATTCTATGACACATCACATTGCATATCAATTTCCATCAAACACACAATTTCTATCTTCTATCTCAGCCACATTGCATTAATCATCAAAATACAAAAATTACAATGCATTGAGATAGGGTAGAGTCCCCCTTACCTTGGATCGAAGACCCACACCCGGATTTGACCATGGACGTGCTACCTACACAGATTGTGGCCTAAACACATGGAAGAATTCCATGAGAACTCCAATAAACCAAGAAACAGAGAAAAGGGGATGAGAAACGAAACCTTAACCATTAAAACTCACCTCCAAGCGTTTCGCACATGGATTTAACCTTCAATCAAGCTCCTGAACGGCTTTGGAGGCAATTTAATCGTTGGAAAAGGGTTCTGGGTAGAGGGGACCTCGCTGCAGCAACACACCCTCACACTGCAGCGAAAATATTAGACGAAACTGCACCCTGGTTTCTGCAGAATCTCGCTACAACAAAACCCTCTCGCTATAGCGAGACTGCACACAGAAATGCACCCCAAACTGTTGTTCTGTCGCTACATCGAGACGTCTCTCGCTATAGCGAGAAGACGACAGTTCTAATCCTTTCTCCCAGGGCCATCTCGCTACAGCGAGAATAGTCTAAAATTGAACCCTACACTTAGGCACTTAGCCTATTTTCAGCCTATCCAGTCATGCATACACATATATATACACATATCCAAAAATACCCACATATATATATATATATATATATATATAACCATAATTAATATCACAAAATTTGGGACATTACATATCAAATCTCTCACTCTTAGTTATTTTACTTATTTTAAACTTAATGACAGCTTTAAAGAGTTAAGTTTTTCTTAAAGAAGATCAATCCAACTAAACCTAGAGAAATCATCTAAAAAAGTAATAAAGTATTTGTATTTGCTCATGGCAATAGGCATAATAAGTCCACACATATCAATTGCAATATGTCACTACATATATTTGTTATTTGTTCCTAGTTTTACTAATCATCTTACCCTTGATGCAATTAGCACATGTATCAAAATTAGAGAAGTCTAAATTATGCAAGATACTTTATTTAATCAATCTCTCAATTCTTGATTTAGAAATGTGTCCAAAATGCCTTTGTCGTAGCATAAAAGAATTCTTATTATACCTAACACGTTTATGGCCAACAACAAAATGGATAAACATATAATTCAAATTCAAAATGTATAACCAAACACATAAAATTCCTAAACCAACAACAATTGGTATGAGAGCTTTAAAAGATACTTTGTTTTATTCTAAAAATTTTCAATATATAATGGTATGTAAAACTAATAAATCCCATAACTATTCAATACACATATAACTTCATTCCTTCACAAATCAAAATAGATATAATATAATTTGTATCTTTGAATTGGTGAAATTAATATTTCAAATTATTAAAAAATACAATTGGTATCACAACATTATTGAATTATTTAATGATTTAAAATATTAACTTTACGATTCAAAGATTAAAATTTTAGTATATCTTTTAATTTATTAAAGAATGAAGTTAGATGTGTATACTTGTTATCAAATTATTAGAGTTCTTCGTTGTTCCTTTTGCGGTAAAAAATTAAGATTAAAAGAGTAGAAAATTACTCTCTATCTAAATCAGTCAAAAGAGAAAAGGTATATGATTAATGTAGAGAGATTACTTACTTACTAAATGAGATTAGAGACCTTTCTCAAACCTTATAAGGTTAAATAGTTTAATTCATCATAAACTTTTTTTATTAAAACTTGATAATAATATATTTATTTATTATCTTATATAAATTTAATAAATAATATCATAATTGATATTAATAATTTAAAATATATATTCTAAATAATTGATTATTATTAATCAACAATTAAATAGGATGTTAAGAATAATAAAAAATATTAATATAACACATCATTCATGAGACAATTGCATGTAGTATAGTTATAAAAGCTATATTTAAAATAAATGATATGTAATCCTTTTTAAGCCACTGGATACTGCAATGACCACCGAGTCAAACCTTAGTAATTAACTTCAAACTTATCAATTAGTTTTCAAAGCTTGGTAAGCCCATCCTTCATTGTTATATATCTAATATTTTTTCTCATAAGCTTTGTAAGAGCATCTTTCCAAAACTTGCATAACTTGTTCTTTCAAAACAAGTATAAGCTTTAGCTTATTACTATCAATATGTTCAAGTCTTGTTAGTTTGTTTTTAATGTGATTCATTTTTCTTAAGAAAAGCTACGACTCTCCCTTTCGTGAACATATATTTGAATAAAATATTTTTCTTCACTCCAAAACTTGCTTTCCCTTCCTCTTTCATCAAACGGATCATCATTGATTTTTCTATTTTCAGTTGCAAAGAAAACAAATTCTCTCTCTACCTAATATGACTTGAATATATCTTGATAATTAACTTTTAAGTATTCATTTAATTTAAAATTAAATAAAATTAATTTTAAGTTGTTAAATACAATTAAAATATATGCATATTTAAATTAATTTAAATTATGCATTCTTAGCAAAAATATGCATTTTTTTTAATTAAAAACACATTGATAAATTAATTTAAAATACATAATTTTGATAAAATCACACGTTTTTCTAATTTTTAAACAAACAAATCATAAATATATCAACATGCTTCATCCTTTAAATAGCTACCAAGAATCACTATTGAGCTATTCTTGTTTGATTCTTCTTTTTCTCATGTAACTAGTATTGTTAAGCATGCTATTGATGGTGAAATAATTTTTGGTCGATTAATTTACGTTAATTATTTTCAAATATAATTTATATGTATAATACAGTAAAAAATTATATTTATAAAACAGGAGCATTAAGATATAAAAATTTAAAATAAAGAAATATTGTGACACTATAATGATAGTAGTCTTAGAAAACTTTTATCTTATAACTACTTTTAACTTATATTTTACAAATGACAAAATCCTAACTATTATATTTAAAACACAGATTATGATATTAAAAAAAATATTAAAATTATCATTTACTGTAAAATTTTCAGTGATTTTTAATATATATTAACACCATTTTTACCAAAGCAATTTTACTAACTTTTTGGAATTAACAAATTGTATTAACGCTTGACATTTATCACACTCAAACAATCACTAAGCTAATCTCCCCGGTACATTCTCCCTGGCAAATTCTGTTCTCACAATCCTGACTTTAAAATATTGATAGATGTATCTGAAGTTGAAGAGTAATAAAATAAACATGACTATTTTGAGATTGTAAACTAACTGTACAAGTAAAAGAAAGGAAAATAATATAAAAATAATACTAATAAAGTAAGTTTGAAGCCAAAAAAGCCTTCGTTTATTTATTTGTACTTATTTTTTATTATATTTGAACATAAAATAGAGATATTAAAAAAATTCATACAGCTATAAAAAAAATATTCACACATGCAATTTAAAACGATGCTAAAGAAATTAGAAAAAGAATTTTTTTTTTGTAAAACATTTTTCTAAAATTTCTATTTTAATTGTATTTTAAAAATATTAATGGACCGAATCTTGTCCCAATTTAGATGTTAGGATCTATGTTTTGAAAAAAAAATTGTTAAAAATCTATTTATTTGCTTCTTAATTCCGAAGTTTTACTTGTAACCGTTAGCCAAGCTTGCAATGGATTGCGTGGACCGGACCTTGTTTTTATTCCAAAATGACACTCGTCAATATTTGATACATCCACGTGTGAGGTCGGTTATTGTGGACCCACAAGACGTTCCTACGAAACTTCGAGCTCACAGTTCCGTACATCCCGAAAAGCATAACAACGACTTTACCCGTAACCAAGTAAAATTAAAAACAAAAAATAAGAATAGAAAAAGAGCAAAAAGCCTATACTTATGAGAAGTAAATCATACTTATCACGTTCGGATTTATCCGTAATACTTTAAATATTTTTATGTTATTTTATTAATTAAAATTTATCTATGTAATTGAAACAATAAAAATCAATATAAAAGTTGATATAATTTAAAATTCTACTTTCAATTAAATAATAGTTTGAAAATCAATATACTAAACAAAATTTATCAATGAATAATTTATTTAAATATTACCTGTAAAGAAATATCTAGGTTTTTTATTAAAAAAATCTTTAACGACTATGATCTTAAACTGTGACAAATGAAAAGCTTTCAAAATCATTTGCCATTCACTTTCTGTTATGGTGCCACCTGTTAATCTCCAACTTATAATAACAACTGCTCTTGGCATTCCATCCAAACTCTGTACTAAGCAGAGCAACGGATTGCCCCTTTTCTCCCACTAAGAGCAAATGCCTCCCAAACTCAACAACAATCAAATAGAAGAACGCCGTCCGTTATCTTTTCCCGCAGTGCATCCTTGCGAGGCTATATCTCCTTCCATCCTCCTCGCTTCCCTCATAACCCTCTCTCAGACCATATGCAACTTCCCATCCAACACGTTCCCCACGCAACGCCGTAACGCCAGAGAAACGGCGCGCCAAATCTCCATTCTCCATGCACTCTTCCAAGACCTCCGTGACCGCGGTTCCGTTATCCCCTACCCCGTTCTCCTCTGCTTCTCGGAGCTCCACGTCACCTTCCAAAAAATCCACTTCTTAATGCAAGACTGCGTCCGCGAAGGCACACGCCTCTGGATGCTCGTAAAATCCCAACACGTGTCCACGCAGTTTCGTCTCCTCATTCGCGCCATGGCCACCGCTCTCGACGTGTTACCCCTTCAGAGCATCGAAATATGCGGCGAAGTGAAAGAGTTAGTGGAATTAGTTACCAGGCAGGCTAGGAAGACCGAGTTCGCACTCGACCAAAACGACGAACGCGAAACGAAACGACTGCGTTTTGTTCTGGACCAGTTCGAGAGAGGAACCGAGCCTGACCTGGACGCCATGAAGCTAGTCCTTAACTACCTTGAAATTAAAAGCTGGAGTTCTTGTAACAAAGAGATCAAATTCCTCGAAGACGAAAGAAACTCCAACGAGCGAGAGTTTAATTTGTTGAGCAGTTTGATTGGGTTCTCGTGTTACTCTAGAGTTATCATATTCGAAACTCTCGATTTCCAATCACGTACCACGGAGCAACATGAAGCACGATGCAACACAGAGACGTTAAGTTGCGTAATGCCAGAGGATTTCCGGTGTCCAATTTCGCTGGAGATAATGACCGATCCTGTGACCGTTTCCACTGGCCAAACCTACAACCGAGCCTCCATTCAGAAATGGCTTAAAGCAGGAAACACCATGTGTCCAAAAACAGGGGAGAAGCTAACCAACACAGAATTGTTCCCCAACACGTCGCTTAAAAAGCTCATCCAACAGTTCTGTTCTGACAACGGAATCTCCATCGCCAACTCGACTAACTTGAACCGAACCATAACCAAAACCATCGAACCGGGTTGTCCCGCCGCGGCGCATGCCATGCAGTATCTTTCGTGGTTTATTGCAAGTAAGCTCGTGTTCGGAACAGAGGAACAGAAAAACAAAGCCGCTTATGAAATTCGCATGCTTGCGAGGTCCAACATTTTCAATAAGGCGTGTTTGGTTGAAATGGGAACCGTTCCGCCGCTTCTGGATCTTCTTGATACGGATGATAGAATCACGCAAGAGAACGCAATTGGTGCTCTTATGAAGCTCTCAACGCACGCCAGTGGCCAGCAAGTTATCATAGATAGTAGAGGTTTAACGCCAATTATTAAGGTTCTCAAAAGAGGGCTCAGTCTAGAAGCTCGCCACGTTGCAGCTGCTACGGTGTTTTATCTTTCGTCGGTGAAAGAGAACAGGAAATTAATAGGGGAAAATCCAGAGGCGATTCCGGGTTTAGTTGAGTTGATCAAGGAAGGAACAACCAGTGGGAAAAAGAACGCAGTGGTTGCGATTTTTGGTCTTCTTTTGCTTCCTAAGAATCACTCGAAGGTGGTTGCAGCGGGTGCTGTTCAGGCGCTTGTTGATGTTATAGCTTCTTCGGATAAAGCTGATCTTGTAACTGATTGCTTAGCGGTTCTCGTGGCCTTGGCGGAGAGCGGTGAAGGTGCTCTTGCTGTGTTACAAGCCCAAGTGCTGTCTTTGGTAACTGGGATTTTAAAATCTGCTACCTCGCGCGCAGGGAAGGAATACTGTGTCGCAATTTTGCTTTCTTTGTGGGTTCGTTTTGGTGTAGAAGTAAAGGGTGTTCTGGCCAGGGACTCTTCGCTTATGCCTTCGCTTTATTCCCTTCTCACGGATGGTACTCCTCATGCGGCCAAGAAAGCACGTTCCCTCATCCAAGTTCTACAAGATTTCAACGACAAAAGAAGTTCTGGAATGGAGGGCTCCTCTGTTTCGCAGCAACGATTGGTTCGATTATCTTGAATTCGGTAGATTCTTCTCTTCCTTTTACTCACAGTAAATATTATTATTATATCCTTAGGAAATAAGGCCCTCTAGATTTTATGAAATCAGTTCCAAGTTTTTAACCCAACGAACTAATTTCGACTGTGTAGTTTTTTCAACAGTGGTAGTTTCTGTATAGTAATAAATTGAAGAGGTCAGATATTAGTTGAATAAGCGCATATTTCCAGATTAGACTAAGTTTATCTTTCTTCGGCTTTGATTTTGTACGCTTCTTCAGAGCAACTAACTGAATCAACTTACAGGGCATCTAAATCAAAATCTATGTTTTGTTTTGTCTTCTCTCCTTTTTACTAGGAAGATGTTATATTAGTTTTATTTTGTTTGGCAGCGTAGTTTAGGGGAATTCCGTTTTAGGATGTGTTGTACTTTGGGATGTTTAGATGGATGGTAAGACTTAAGAGACCGAAAGGAAGGAACTTGAAGAGAATAATATTTTGAATTTTTTAAAATAAAATAAAAACAAATAGAACTTGGATATACTTCATTTAATTTAATCTCGTTCTATTTTATATTTCATTTTTACCTTTACTTTAAGAGCATGGAATGAAATTAATATTTCTATTTTACTAATATATAAGTATTGAATGACGTTTATTCTTAACCCTATATAATATTATAAGCATTTTGATGAGAAGCGAGTTCTTAATGTTGTAGTTCACAAGATACTATTTTTACACCGCTAGTATCGGATGATTATGGTTTATTTTAACTTGATGACTCACTAATCTATCTCAGATCAATGTATAAAATACTATAAAACTGATGCAATGCCTTTCTAACGTCTAGTCATCTAGGTCAAATGTAAATCCATCTCCAAATTTTGAATATGTGCAAATCAATCCTTAATGATATATGATCTATATGCAAAATATACCTTTATATAGGGAAATTATTATTAAATCCTATGAAAAACAATAGGTAATTTTTTAAAACCCTAGTAATTAAGGGGATTAGAATACTTTTTCTATGTAACAAAATAAATTAATGTCATGTGCTTACTAAAATAAAGTGTTTAAATATTATACTATAGTCATTGATTAAAATTTTCTATTTAACTTAATTATTTAATTTTTTTAGTTAACTCAATTTCTATTAATTAATTTGATCTTAACTAGTGTCTTAACCCTAATTTTTCCTTGAATGAAAAATCTCACAATTCTAAAATCGCTTTTAATTTGACTTGCAATTTAATCATTCATTCATTCACTCGTCAATTTAAATTTCAAAACTCAATGTGGATCTTGAAATTAGTATTTGCATCCTTTTTGTTGTGGATCAACCACTAACTCATTAACTATCCATCCCATTGTCAATCACTGCTGTGAAGCACCTCCATTGAACGATCCAATCATCAACAATAAAACCTTTAATTGAACGCAAACCCCCTTCGATCAGCATAAAATAGTAGGCAACATAAAAGAAAAGAAAATTCAAACTACTTTTTCTTTTTAAAAATCCAAGAGATTAATATATTGATTGAGTCATCATCTTTTTGCCAATTAATTTTCCCAATTCTGAATGAGTTCAAAATATACAGGTGTTTATTCAAGAAAAATTGTTGGAACCTTAACACATTGAAATTGACTCTTTCTTCTCTTTTTCTAGCATATGTACTTTTTCCTTAATAAAAACTTGCCTATTGAAATAAACGTTGCAGCTTATTTTAAATTGCTTTGTGGATATTTGGTTTAAATCTCATGTCATGAAAAAGGATTATGTATATGATATGTGTGTGTACATATATTTTAATCATTTACCAAAAATAGAGTCCAATACTAACAAGTCGTAGTATGAAACAACACCAACTTGAAGAGCATTTAAAACATTCAGAAATAATTTCCATGAAACTCAGTACTCTTGCAATATTTTGTTGTGTTAAGCACATCCAAATTTAGTTATTTACAAGCAATTATTGAAATATTCTAATGTGTAGTTATTAAATGTTAGGAAGATATCTTTCCTCTAGGCTATATTTTTATATATTTATATATAGTTTTTTCATTCAAGGGTGTATTGTTCTTAATTTGTGTTAAATAAATACAACAGTAAAATGAGGAGACAACAATGTCTGAATAGAATCTTTTGTCCATTATCAAATGATTGAATCAGTCTCGTTTGAATTTTATCCAAAAGCACAACCCTTAATGAAGTTTTATCTACTTTGACATTGAAAAAGGCTCTAAAAACAATATTTTCATTCTTAAACAGAATCTATAAGTATTGAGAAATTTCTTTGTTAAAAATGAAAAGACATATAATTAGGTTAGTGTCTTGACAAGAATGGGGATGATTTAGAGAGCCCTAGATTCAAAAAAGAAAAAATTAAAAGAAAAAAGATAAAGCAAAGTAATCATTAAGCTGACCGACTGCAAGAGGCTTCCACATCAAATATAGCAACCAAACCATTGTAAGTGGAGGGGTAAATTTTGTGAATAGAAATTGTGACCACTAGATCACGCAGTAGCAACTTACAGAGGTGTCGAGGCTTGGCCTAAAATAATCATAGTTTAATTTTTCTAAAGGTAAATTAATTATTTAATGACATTTATATTTCTTTGTCATTTTGACATTTAAAGGTAAAGTTTAACAAACATTCAATTTTCAAACAATGCAATTTAATAAATTTTGACGCAAATGAAAATGCTAAACTACATAATTATAACAATAGACATAAACCTATAAACAAATTTAAAGAGAAAAAATGAAAATGGGTAAGGATAACTCACTAGTTTCTAATTATCATCAATTACAAGAAAATCGATTATCCCGTGTTCAACAAAAGTTTCCACAACTATTGCAAAATAACATATCAAAAGTTAAAACGCAACCTGCTTGTTTATAATACAAAAGCTATACGAAGTGCATTGCACAAAGTTTTAAGAGAATTTAAGAACTAAAGCATTTTCTTGGATAATTGAACTTGGTTTTGTTTTGTGTTGTAAGAATTTCCATCCTTTTGCCACTTCTATTGTGTTGCAAGCCTATTAATTTGTCATTTTGACCTTTGGGATTAAAAATGCTTTGAAAATTATTCCTAATGAATAATGCTTATTGCATCATGTACAAAATTAAGATTTAATGAGGGTGTTAGTTGAATGTATCCTAGAGAAAGGCCTTAAGATGATGCATTCTTCACCCCCTACAACCTACTTACATTTTAAAGGAACTTAACTTGGTGTTAGTGTTGGTGTTCTGTCAACAGGAGTGACTTAACAGGGCTTATGTTATTTTTGGGTCCATTTCATGAAACAATGTTGTGTAAAGTTGAGATTAAATTTGTGGAATTGAGTGTTTTGTTGGGTCCATTCATGTAGCATTGTTGTCAAGACTCGTCTTTGCATGCCAAGGACCAATTGTAGGATATTAGCTAACAGACGTTGATAAGGAAAGCATAATATGTAGGCTAAGAAATATAACATTTGTGGGATGGTTTTGGATATCATCCTTTCTTGTAGACTTTCTAGTACCTATTTGGATTAGCATAGTAAATCATGCAACTTATTTATTGGTTTCATTCACTAGTTATCCTTCTTGTGTTAATTTATCAACTTCCTACATAATTTATTATGTCTAAATTATTCAAGATGCTATTGGAATTGTACAGTCAATGTTATTGTACCTCAATAAGTATGTTGGAGCTTTTTGCATAAATAAAATATTTTATTTGCGGATTAAAAATCGAAGGTGCAAACTTCACAATGAATCAGAAGTAACTAATGTTTTTCTTACCTCACCATTAACCTTGAATATAGAAAAAGAGTTCTCGCTTCCCAAATTTCATGATTAATTTTATTGAAAATGCCTAAGTGCACATTTTGGGCCTATTAACCTTGGCACATGGATGATTAAGAATTTAAGTGGAATTGCTTTTGGTTTCTAGAGAGAAATAGAAAGCCATTAGCATAAAAGGACAAAATCAACTTCGGAATGTCAAACAAAAGTAAATATCATAACTCATGGGCCTGTTAAAGAGTAAGGACTCTAAAATAACCCTAAATCTTAACAAAGAACGATAGATAAGAAAGGAGAATAAACTATCACTATACTTCCCACCTTATACTAGAAACTCGATCAATTTTGTACTGAAGTTGTAGTTATTGTCGCTTATGTGAATCTCTTGCAGCTTACTTGTCATGTTCTAACAGGTAATATCTCTATCCACTTCTAAAAGAGTTGCAAATATGCCATTAGTCTAAAAGATGTTTCACGAGTTCTCTTTCTCTCTGTGTTTTCTCTGTGTTCGTGTGTGTATAATGATGCATAGCTTGTTAGTTAGCAAAGGCATAGCATATGATAGTAAAGACATAGGGGCTCTTAAAATTGAAAATGTGTCATTAGAGATTATTCTTTTGTATTGTTGTTGATGGTTTTGGCTTATGAAGCACTACAAGGTAGGCTTATTCAGGATGCTCAAGTAGATCTTACTAGGGGTGTGGGGAAGGAAATTGACTTAAGGAGTAGAGAAACTCAAACATACTGAATACTACAGGTAATGTGAAAGTGATTTATATTTATTATATTCATAGTTATAGTTAGATATATAACCTTTCAAGTTTAAAAGTATGGCCTAGCCTATAGGATTTCTTGCTAGCCCTCCAATTTACCAATTTTTTGGCTCTTGAATAATAATAATATGGTTGTGTAGGACATTGTTGTTTATCTCTTCATTTTTTACTGGTTTTGATGAATTTTGAAATCCAAAAACATGTAGGACATTGTTGTCTAGAACTGTCCTAGACATGTTGATTGAAGGGGCAAAAACTAGTCTTACCCCAAAATTCATTTTAAATTGCAAACTTTGAGTTTACTCTCATGAGATTTTGCATTTGTAAGAACATTTTTCTTCTGCAATGCAATAAAATCCTGGATTCTGCAAGACAGCAGAATTTTATAACTAGGGATGTATACATTCTTTTCCAAAAATTTCTACAGAGCAAATTCTGACTGCAACATCAGGCATTAACTATAAATGTCAATAAAAATAATGGAAATTCAACTAGAAATTTACAATTACAACAACTAGCCTAATCCGATCCATAACTCGAGGGATGTCCTCAAATGTTATAGTGATAAAACAGATTCAAAACCATCCTGGTTCTATGCAATGACAGGCTGATCCTGGAGTTATATTGATCTTAGCAACACTCAAAAACTTCTCCCATAAATCAAGTTCTCTTTTCTCACTGTAAGGTCGGATTAATCCACTCATATCAGCCCAACAGCACATACCAGCACTGCTTTTTTACTTAAACAATCCACAAATTGATCATGCACTGTTCTTATTCTGCTCCGGTTGGCCTCAAAGTAGTCATGAATAGATTTTTTATCTAAAAGCATTGCACTAACTAACCTCCTCTGGGTCGGAGAAAATATAGAGGTAAATCTACTCATCTTCTTTGCAGCAGCCAAAACACGGTCATTGAAAGAACATAACCCCAACTCTAAGCCAGCAAGCGAGAGGTCTTTTGACAGGCCTATATCAATGCACAAAACCTTTCAAATTTTACTAATCCTCCCGTCACCTGGCACAAAATCTGACAAAGCCTGCAAAATCAAAGGAAACAAAAGAAGTTTAACGTACAAATAAAACAACAGCATGACGTTAAATGAAGTAATGAACCAAATTTGAACGTAGGAAGTATGAATTTAATTATAAAAGATCGTAAAATAAGAGTAACCAACTCCACCGTCAAATATTGCCAAAATAACTAGCAAAAGATAACATTTAAATTTAAATTTTTAAAACAACAAATAACTCTAATTAAAACCAAAATGTCTGTTCACTGCATTACCTAAAAGGTATTTGTTTCAAAAGCTGCCAATTATCCTGTATGTTGAAAAGAGAATATTGAAACGCAAGGGCTAAACCCTCTAGTTCTTCATTTAGCATTGAGAAACAAGATACACTAAAATTAATAATAATTAAATTAAAATCTATCAGCTAATAAGTTTGTAGCTCAACTGGTACCACCTCCAAGACACGGGTGTAATAATAACATTTTCAATTCTCCGCTATGTTACAAATGCTTTAAGGCCATTCCTATTCCTCCGTCTCTTCAGGAATGATGGATCATGACATAGTATAAGTGCCTCTGACCTATTTTGGTCTAGAGTTCTATACTTACTGCTCCCGTACTTTCGATTATCAAGTAAGAAGATGCTTTAAGAAACTCAAAATTTATCATTCTCATACATGAAAAGGTAGAATTAGAATTGCCATTTTAAAAAGCGTCAAAAACGTCCATTTGTGCTGATTTCTGCGAGCTATTACTCCATTTAAAGTTAATAGATATATCTTTAGATAGCATCATGGAATTATTTATTCAAATACCAATAATTTAGTTATGCTAACACATAACATGAACACTAGTGGTAGAATAGTACCCTGGCCTATCTGGGTGCACGTATTGTTTGTCTTGCTCCACGCGCTTCACTGTTCAATTGGATGACATTTTCCGTTACTAGCATACAATGGTGTCTCGGAGGACATATTTGTGTAAAAAAGGCGCATTTGTATAATTACAACAGAGTACAATTATTTTACAACCACTCGCATTGTACACAACAACCTTTCTTTTATTCTTTAACTTGCTCAAGTGACACCACCAATATTGCCAAATTAGTTTAAGCGAACGAAGTTATTTATAAAAATATTTTTGCAGCTTTTTGAAAAAGAAAACTTTAAAAACTAACTATTTTTTTAACAAATAATGCAATTATGCATGACATATAATGGCTGTGTTTACCAAAAGCAAAGGAAGACAGCCAAATAGGAAAATACAAAGCTTGGAAAGAAAATATATCTATTAATTTGAAATCAGTTCACCCTTAAAAGTAGATTAACAAACAAAAGTAAAATCCAACATCAAAACTTAATCTTAAATGATCAGTACCCAATACCAGTATACCCCAAAGCTTTTGTGCTCTCCTTCAATTATCATGCAGAGTTGAAGCTTACCTTTACAGAAAGGATTTAGGGAGTGATTAATGCATCAAAACTGAAAATCCCGGCCATTCCTTACGAGGACAATCATCACAAAGCTATCTGAAATCTGTGTCATGCTCAATATAAACGAAAGCATTGACTTTTCAATCATGTCCACACAATTGGAAACTCAACTCCAAATCATTCTTGGAAGCAATGGACCTCAACCTCAAAACATACAATATAATTCGTGTTGTCAATGTTCTATCATTTCTGTCCAATTTTTCAACAGAAGTGAACTATAGCTACCAATTATTCTGGAATTTCCCCTTCCTCCAATTCAGCTGGCAAAGGGAACACTCCATCGGAACCAAGTAACTCTATGTCATTTTCTGTTTTCTTGGCAAATACACTATCAAAATAAAAAAAGTCACTGGGGTTTGTTTGATCCAAAAGACCGCCATAGATATCCATAAAATCTTGATCGAAGTCAAATGCCATATTTTCAGAGAATTCTAGTTCCTTGATTTCCGTCAAAGAATGTGAGAGATTCCCAGTGTCTCCTTCAAATAGAGATATATCTGAGGAATCATTTGGTGCTTTTTTAGAACTCGTGTTTTGTGTAAGCACTTGATGTGATGAACTTGATTCCACAGGCTTCATGAGATCAAAAACCTTAGAATCTACTGAGTCATCGTCTTCTATCGTCACCTCCCTAAACGATACACCTTTCGGGCTTTGGTTCCCTTCACTATCTTTCTGTAGTGATTTATGTACATTGGTGTTGACATCCTTGATAACTTCAAAATTGATTTTGTGGGAAGGCAAAAAAACAAAAATAACAGGAAACTCCAGAATGACTATATTTGCTAATTGTTGTCTGATAGGTGCTTTCATATCTAACTCTTTGAAGGGTGATCTAGGACCCTGTATGTTGACACAAAGTCACAAACAAGATAAAATAAATTAATACAATAAATTCATATCTTGATGTATTCAGTCAATGTTGCAAGTCTGCCAGCTTAGTATCCTGAATTTTAACCATAGAAAAGGGGGGGAAAAAACCACCTTTGGATATTTGCGAATGAAAAGCTTGAGACTATCTAGATGGTCTTCACAAAATTGCCTTAGCTGATGATTCCAAGGACCAGGTTTGAGGTGCTTCTGTAGAATGGAGTAAAAGCCTGTATTTTCACTGACTCTGGAAAACATGAGCATAACATCCTATCAGAACTATATTCTATAGACACTAAGCATGCAATAAGAATGAAAGGTGCAGTAATGTACTCCACATCAAAAGCATCATCCAAATGGCTCACCCATGGTCATGTAGAACAATGTCTGTTGAATGAAAACGCCATTCAATCGTCCAAGATATAAACTTCTGCCTGAAAAAGCATTGAATGAACATATTTGTAATTTAAAAAAAAACAGAAGTTACCACCTTCGCAATCTAACATGAAAACATTCTTATAATCTAAATTTCCCTCTGGAATCAATGTGCTCAGAAGAAATCACGACTTGATAAAAACCTATACTCGGCTACACTGAGAAAATTACTTATATGTATCATCCTCCTAATGCAACAAAAGTTTGTCGTGAATGACAAAAGTACCTTTGGTCATATCGAGACTGATTCTTCTCTCTTTTTGACATTCCATTAGGGAGAAACAGTACTTTGGTTCTCCGGCTCCCAGCAGCACTTCGAAGGCTTTTAAGTTGATGCGGTAGCTTGAAATATGCATACATGCCCAATTTATCTCTCATTCTCTGAGCAGATTCAGCCACCCTCTTCACCTCCTCAAGCAAATTATAGTCTAGATGGAGGAAATCCAAAATAAATACATAGATAAAGGGAAATCAGAAGAAGTCACGAACAAAACTATACATGTGCAGTAGTACACAATTAGGAAAATTCAGCAGCAACAACAACAAACACGATAAATGAAAAACATGTAAAATCCAAAAGGGCAAAAAGGAAAAAAAATCCACATAAATATATTGAAAATTACTTAAAAAAGAAACACTCAAGTAAAATATCTGAATAACTAAAAAAAGATTTGGATCTACTTCATTCATTGAAGAACAGAAAATGATCAAGTTAGAGAGAAAGATAAAAAGATGCAATCATTATCGAAAACAATTAATGAGTCTTACAACCAATCAGATTCAGATCCTTTCCAATTTTGGTGCAGAAATGACAGTCCAATCGAGATTCGCTTAAGCAAATTTGCAAGTGAGAAGAGGGAAGGAATGTAATATTGGAAAATTTGCTTAAGTGAAGTAGCTATGACTTGTGTGACTCCCAATCTAAAGATAAAACAGAAAAGGAAGTTTTGGACAAGAGGGGTTCTTCAGATCATTGCCCTTATGCTTTGAGGTTTCCTTTGAGGTTGCTTTTTTTGCAAATAATTCTGATTCTAAATTTGGCAATGCCATAACTGAGAATGGTTTTGCTTCTGATTCCTTCATTGTTGGCACCCCACGGAACCCGCTCAAGTTGATTTTGCTTTTTCTGAAGTTTAGTTTAATGTTTATAGTTGTTCTTGCTCTTACTGTATCCTTTTGGTGGACTTCATTGATTTCATCCTCATCAAGAGGTCACATTTACCATGGTTATAGATTACTCTAGGAGAAGCTTGTGTCAGATTTGTTGGATATTGATGAGATTTCTCGCAGTCCCTTGAGGGCTAAAGAGTTGTAGTTGTGTTCTCAAGAGTTGGAAAACTTTGCTCCTTGCTTTAATGTTTCTGAGAATGTAGCTTTGGAATTTTCTGATGGCAATGAATTTGACCGGCAATTCGGCCATGAACCAAGGCAGCTTCTATTCTGTTCTCAAAAACATTTTGAAGAAATAAAATAGATTTAAAATGCAAAATGAACACATGTAATCTGAAACTACGCAGAAGACTCCAAGTAATTGACTATGTGTGATTCCAAGGGGAAGAGGAATCGGTCCTCACATCATCTCATTAAGTAGACACTTCCAAGCAACAATGACATAAGGCTCGGTCAACCCACATAATCATTGAACTTGATTTGTCCAACCCTTTTGTTTTGCTGAGCAGATTTGCTTGACGAAACTTATTCAGTTATCAGAAATTTCCAATATTACATTCCTTTCCTCTTCTCACTCACAAATTTGCTTAAGCAAATCTCAATTGAACTGTCATGTTCGCGTCAAAGTTGGAGAGGATCCGAATCCCAACCATCATAGTAAATTCTTAGTATCTGATAAAGATTGTTTCTTCCTCTAACATAACCATATAATTCAGAGAAAAAAAAAAGGTCCTTGTGGTTGACTTGAAGGGAAATAAGAAGTAAAATTGTTATGCTTATGCAATCAATCAACTAGAGAAAAGGTTGGTTGGAAATATTAAAAAAGAGAATAGAAAGTACCAGATAATAAGAGATTGTCATCAAACTGAGAAAGAGGAATGAACTGAGTCTGATTCCTCTTTCCAGCACAGCCAGTACGCACTTTGTGAGATTTGACACAAGGAAGACTGCATGAGTGTAAGGAGCAACCAGGGCACTTGTACTTCCATGGGTTACATTTACATTCTTCACACAGTGTTGGCCCTCTGGGGATTGACACTTGTTCTTCTGTTTGTGAGAGAGAAGCAGACATGTTTAAGCACTCTTCCAATATCACTGCTCCTTTGGAAGACCGTCACAGCAGGGCAGAGGGTGGCAATGCCATATATCGTCACTGGTCAGTCAGGGTAGGGTAGAAGCTGTGGCTAGGCTATACAGTGTCAAGGTTTGAAGCAAGGAATGGGAAATAATTATTAAATATTTTAAAAAAAACATAAATAAACATGTCATAAAAAAAAACTGAATTCCCAATATTTCATTTCTTATAGATACATACATACATACATACATATCTACATATATCTAAATATATATATATATATATATATATATATATATATATGTACATATATATATATATATATATATGTACGTATATATAAGAAATAAACTTTCGTTCAAAACTTTGATATTTGGGCACATAATTACACTAGACAGCAACATGTGATGATCACAACTTAACATCCCTCCACTTTTCTGTTTTTGGTGGTCAAGATAATGCGACCAGTTAAATTAGGCGGGCCAAATTCCTTATTCTTCAACTTTAAGTGTTTTAATTTTTCTTTTTCAGGTTCGACTTGATTATAATTTTTTTTGGACCAGCTTTACACCAATTCAATGTGGGACTTCACAATTTTTACGATTGAGAAAGAAAAGTGGAACTCTAAATATATCAAACTGAGTCACCATTTAGAGACAAGCATTTAATTGCTCTATTTGAGGTAGAGAAGTGAGAAGAGAATATACAGAAGGCCTTAGGTGTTGAGAAAGAGTATGTGCTTGATGTAAGTTTATTTGACACACATGTTTATGTCTGAATTAATTTTTTTTCTTAAATAGAAATACATGACTCTTGAATGAAATATAGTCCCATTTGTTGATATTTCCATCATGATAAGATTGAAATATGATTATTTTTTTTGCTCATATTTGAAATATTATGCACCAACAGCTTGAGAAGGCTTTATAAGAAACACGGCTAGAGCACGCAAAAATTTATTTATTTGCACCAACAGTTTGTATATATATTTATATATATAAACTGAGTTTGATAATTCACTTTCCTGAACTCTTGTATTGCATAATTCAAGCATTTGATAAAGTTATCCAGCCTACCTTATTTAATTTAGTGATTATATCATGAAGTTGTTAAACCTGATATGGCCAGAAACTTGAGATTATTTAATTTGAAGTTGGAGAAAAATTGCAACACTTGGTTCCCCCATAGAGAAAAATTGGGTTGCAGGGATTCAATTTTTTAAAAAAATAGACCCAATACATTTCATTCCAAGATATTTGAACATTGTATTATTATTACTACAAGCAATGGAGCAGCGCATGGAAATTAATTACAGAAAAGAATGTAGAGAGAGTTGAAGGCCTGACTCACCCGCAGACGAAAAGATACGAAAGAACAGAGTGCTTGTGTTGCTACACAATGGAGAGTGTTGGCGTTTAGGGTTTGAGTAAGAGTAGCAGAGGAATATCGCTGCAAGTGTATGCGGTGAGAACCACCGCAACCAGAGAACGATGACGGTCACAGAGAATCGAGATGCTCCAAGACTGAACAAAACAAAATTTGAGATACTGTTTGGCCTTAGATTTTAACAAGGATTAACTGATTGACTCGCTCTAGGGTTGCTTTTGTTACCTCCTTTTTAAGTTTTTACGCCACTATAATTTTTTATATTACTTTTTTCAAAATTTGTTTCTAACACAAATTTTGAAAATAATTTTTTCAAATTAAATTATAATCCAAATTTATAATTAATTTTAAAATTATTCATTATTTTCATAAATAACTTTCCATAATCAAAATTTATATTTCACGAAATAAGTTTATGGAATTAAGATTTTATATTTGTAGAGATTAATTTCCAAAATTATTAAAATAAGTTTTTGAAATTAAGATTTTATATTTTCATAATAAATTTCAAGAATTAAAATTTTACAATTCCATAAATTAATTTCTCATATTAGTTTTTCATTCTTCCAAAAATTATTAAAAAAATTATAGGGTGTGGAAAGAAAATAAACGGATGAAAAAGCAAAATTTCTGCAACTATGAAAAAATAATTTTGAAAATTAATCTTTGGAGGTAGTGGGAAATCTTATTTCTAAAAACCTATTTACGTAAATAGTTGATAATTCTGGAAATTAATTTATAAAAGTATGAAAAACTAATTTGGAAAACCAATTTTCGGAAGTATAAAATATAAATTCTAGAAACTTATTCTAAAAATATAAAATTTAAATTCTGGAAACTTATTTTCGAAAGTAGTTCATAATTTCATTAGTTAATTTTAAAAAATTATTTTCAGAAGCATGAAATCTAGATTTTGGAAACTTGTTTCCAGAAATAGGAAATAGTTAATAATTTCATAAAATAATTTTTGAAAGTATGTAAAACTAATTTCTGGAAGTATAAAATTTTAATTTAAAGAATTTATTTCTTTAAGCAAAGAAAAAAAAGAATTCATTTCTAAAAATAGTTAATAATTCTGAAAATTAATTTCTAAAAGTATAAAAAACTAATTTATGAAAGTGTAAAATCTTAAATTTATTAAAAAAGAAAAAGGTGCAAACACGTCTGCTCCAACATTTTCTAACGAATTAGGCTCACCTTGACCCAAAAACAAATTTTTGCCTAACAAGTTATTATTATTATTATTCTAACTTTTATAAATATATATATATATTAGGTTTAGTTTTGATTTAATTGTCTTAGCTTTGAGTCACTTTTTTTTAATTACTTCATTTTGTTTTATTTCAATAAATTTTTGGTTTATTTGGAACTTTTTATTTTATCCTTTTATTAATTTTATTTCTTATTTTTTTGAAATTTTATATAATTTCTTTATCAATAATATGTTAATTGTTTCGTTATTTACTTATATTATAAACGTTATATCTTTCATTTTTTAAATAAATATTTAAGTTATAAGGTTAAAATTTTTAAAAATATGAAAAAATAAATAGAAAGATAGACGTGACAACATTTACATCAAGTACATATCATATTATATAAATAAAATCAAAGACATTAGAGAAAGTTTAACAAAGATCATATGAAAAATTTGTAGGAATAAATTGAGTTGAATCTAATTATATAAATTTAGAATACTAGTTGTGAAATAATGATAAAGTCACTTACTTGTTATAAATATTGTGAATTGTGCGTAGACGATTTCTGTGAGATGCAAATCCTTTGTTTGTGAAAAGTCAAGATCTTCCTTTGCCAAATCACAATATTCTAATCTTAGGTTTTAATGGGGCAAACTTACAGAGCAATAGAATATGTTTCCGTAACACTAGAGGGGACTTAGCCTCAATATTTATTAACACTGGGCACCTCTTATCATGTGTTTAGAAGTTAGGCTCACACTATATCCCACATAGATTATTATTAAGTGCCGAAAACCCATAAGCAATTGATCACATGATTAATAGGCTTAAGTACCCTCAAATGGATCACAATATTAGCTCGTTTTTGAAAAAAAAATCCGCAATTGATTATATAGTTCATAATGAATTCTATAGAAAATTCTAACATTTTCCCACTTGAACAAAATCAATTGTGTAGTTCATAACTTTTTAAAAATTTAAAAAAACGACTCTCAGACTAATAACATGTTGTAGCCACAAACATATGATCCCAAGATACAACATTTAATTAAAATTTCATCCAACAAAATCATGCAATATTGAATCAAAACGGCAATTGCATCCCCTATTGACGCAATTTCTTCTATGGTTACAAATACTACTAACTTTGTCGACTAGTCATTGATGTGGAGTGAAGAGAGAAAATGATATGTCAATGTGCTCAAATAGTCATATTATCATTTTTCACATTAGGCCTTAATTTCTCTCAAATGCTTAAAAGTCAAAGAAATTACATAGTTTTTGAACAAGCACTAGGCACTTTATATTAGAAAAAAGGCTAGAAAAAACCTTCAAAAAAGGACTTAACCCCATCCCATAGGTGATTGATTAACTATCGAGTGAAGAAAACCCATGCTTACAATAATGAATCATTCAACCTTGATGTTGTAACTCATCCAGCCCAGACAGTAAGCATTCCTATCTAAAACATGCTATCAACTATTATGCCTCAGCTCCATCTAACATCAACCACCGGCATAGAAGTCCCAATGACGCCAAAATCAAATTTTGGTCTTAATACCTCAACTCCAAATGGCATCAACCATCGGTATAGTGGTCCTAATGATACCGAGCTTAAAATTTGATAATGCCTAAACTTCAACATAGTGTCAATCGCAAGCACAATGACTCTAACAATACTGAGTTTTATATTTGGCAATCGATATAACAAATATGCTTGTATATACAAAGATATATGATAAAAAAAATATATTATCAATTGCTCAAAATAAAAAGAATACATGTAAACCAAACACAAAAGGTGTTCAAAATAAAATGTCTAACATGATAAGAAAATGACATAAGAGATAAACTTTTACTAACTAAGTATATTAAAAGAATTCACAATTTTATGTCCTTAACATATACCTTTTTAAATATAATATGTCTTAACTCCTTAATTGAATAATCATCTAGCCTATATTATATATCAATATACTCAATAACTATGTCATTTTTCTTCACAAAATTTAACAGTCAAATTACTTTCATTTTTAAGTGCTTAGAACCATTAATAATTTGTATTTTATTTTATTTTTATGTAGAACACAACATCGTTATAATAACAACTCTTCAATGGTCTAGCAATGAAAATCACAATACAAAATATTGTCATCAAGTTTCTTAACCAAACAATATAAGCGTAATAAGAGTCAATTTCTTATTCTTCCTACATGTGGATCCCCCAATCATCATAAAGATGAATCCCAAAGTCGATTATTACTACAACACTCTTAAAGATTTGAGTTTATATATCCCACAATCTCTAAATTGTCAACTCTCTTATACATAAGCTCATACTCTTCGATCCCTTGCAAATACTTCATTACTTTCTTAGCAATTATTCAATGATGAATCCAAAGAATATATTCACATATAGCCAATGTCATAGTGTTTGAGAGTTGGTCGAACAAAATATTTTTCCATACAAAACAAAAGAATATATAATTCACCACAAAGCATATAACATAAATTAGTAATGTCATAGTGTTTGAGAATTGGTCGAACAAGATCCTAGTATTATGTTTGATTCTTTTCAACTTTAATTTAATTTATTTTGATTATTAACCCTTGTGGTAGCAAAATATCCACGTACGGCAGTAGTAGTTGCAGTTACCAACAATATTGCATAAATATTGGATCACACAAATCAATTGAAACCAAAACACATAGTAATTTGTCATAGGCAACGGCAGAATTATTTAATTATTAAAAATTGAAATTGAAGTGCTAGTAACAATGGAAAGCAGAATTGCGAAACGTAATTAAAAAAAATGAAATTAGCTAAAAGAGACGCACATGTATTGGATCCTAGATTATTGTCGTAAATCAAAATTGAAATTCATCCAAAATTGAAATGGCCATATGACATCCACATTGAATTAGATAATTTTAAAATTAATATATATCCAACAAATGCTCATTGGATTACGCAATTCCACAATTAAGGCTCGTTAAACATATAAATGGAAACAACAAGAAATTATCAACGTATATTCAAATAATAATAAAGGCAAAATCAATAGATTCTGAAATGCAACAAAATATTATAATACATATTATATATATCAACGCAATCAACATGTGATTCAAAATTGACCCTGAATGACAGTGGCATACAAAAAACGATTACAAAGTTTGAAACGTTATAAAATTGACAAATCAATCATGAATGGCAGCGACATAAGGTAATACAGCACATCAAAATTTGCAACACAAGAACGTATCACATATGACATATTGTAACAGTATGGCAGTAGAATATGAATTCAAAATTTGAAAACAAAAATGCATAAATTTCATATAAAGATGACAATTGACCCAATGAAAGAATATCATATAATTTAAAATTTGGAAAGTAACATAATACATATAATAAATGTAGACCCAATGGGTTCATAACATAACTGTTGGCATGTGTGAACAAAGTCCCATATTGCCTAGAATTGGGGAGGATGGCATATAAGTATGGTGATATCTCTATTAGTATGAGGCCTTTTGTTTAATATCCAAAACAAAACTATAAGAATTTAGACCCAAAGTAGACAATATCATATTAGTGTGAAGATATAGTAAAAAGTTGACTAAACCCTCATTTTAGTCCTTGAGAGAATTTGAGTCCAGCATTTTAGTCCTTAAAATATTTAAAATATCACGTTAGTCTCTATCTTCTTTCTCTGTCATTCATTTTAGTCCCTAATTTCAAACTCTGTTAAGAAACCATAACAGAAACCTGACTTGTCACGTTAAGTGTCATGTCAGAAGTCCAGTTGGTAGAAATGACGTCGTTTTGAGAAGTAAACATGGCAAAACACTTTTAATTGTAAAAAACGGTGTCGTTTTACAATACTTTGATCCAAGAACCCTTTTGCCTAAACACATAAGCATATTTGTTATAGGTTTTGCGCCCTCTAGTCTTCCACTGTTAGGGTTAAGGTTCTTAGTCTTCCAC